TAGCTCCTACTTCTGACTTTATTTCTTGTTGTGTTGTTCCTGGATGTATTTAAAAGATGCAGCCATTTTGCAGAGCGCCTTCTGATGTGTCATTCCCCAATTTTTTTGCGGGACACTCTGTGAGCTCTTCAGTGTTCAGATGAAAATCCTTAGTTATGTGGATGATGGTTATATATAGACTTGAAAATACAGCCGTAACTTCTAAACCTCGGAGTGTTTTCAAAGGCACTATAAATAAAGTTGGTTTCACTCATTAGCATTAGCACCTAACAAAGGACATCAGTGTGATTGTTCATAGCTTGCAAAGAGGGAAATAAATTTTGAATCTTAAATTAGGAACTTGTTTCTGACTTTTGCTGTTTGCATTTCAAAGGAATAAGTTATCTATTCCTAAATAGAGTAACAATTTTTAAATGTTGTGATGTTGCTTAATATGCTATTATTGCTAACTGTTAAAAAGTTGATTAAAATGCTATAGAACTATGGCCACAGGAGTTTAAGCACTTAAATTTTGCTTGCTTAAAATATATCTTCCGTGTTGTAGCTTGTACTGCCTTTGAAGTGCAGTCTCTTCAGCAAGAATATGTGGTTGTTGTTCCTTGGAGGAAATGTAGAGCCAGAGGAAGTAAAAACATCCCATTGTCACTTCAGCGACTCAGTTCCAAACAGAATGAGGTAAAGGCTTTGGAAGGAAGATAAAATGTGGTTCCTAGAAAAGCTGTTCCCCTGCCATCTTCAGCAGAAAAAGCATTTCAACAGTTCCCATTTATCAAGAACAGCTAAGATAGAGGAGCTGAATGGGGTCCTGTGTATCAGATGCTAGGAATACCAGGCCTAGGAGGAGCGAGGCATTGTGTGTTGGTACGTATTGAGCCTCCTTCCAGGTGGCAAACAGCTGTACCTTTTTATCAAACTTCAAAAATAAATCTGAAGTGCTTGCTTTCAGCCGAGAAGTGTTATATTTAATTGAAGCGTTCTGCAGACGTGATAGCTCAGGCACCCGGAAAGATGGTGAATATTGAATATATTTGTTTTGTGTTTCAACCAGTCAACAGTATAAAGAAATTCCTTAACTACTTCTCTTTAACACGCCTGAAGAAAGCACGGTATGTTGCTAAATCGCCTTTCACCGGCCCTGCCGAGAAACAACTTTAATCCTTGTTAGAAAATTGCAGAGTCTGGGCTGGACAAAGAGCTCCTGCCCGGCGCATTGTGAGCGCGGGAGCGGGGCGCGGGGAGCCCTTTACAGCTGCGTGCCTCCAGCCTGCCTCAGCTGGACTATTTAGGCCAGGAGGTTTGTCAATCCCTCCCCACAATGGGGAGAGTTTTTCAGTGCCTGTAGCCGTGCCGAGCCCCGTTGGGGATCAATGCTGGCCATTCAAGCTGCACCCTCTTTCATTGCTTTGGTTTGTTAATTTAAGACTAAAGGTCCGCCGAGGGGGTTTAGGGTGTTTAAGAAAGCTGATGAACTGTTTAAGAAATCTGATGAACTGAGAGCGTTTATAGCCCTGGTGTGGCAACTATTGGCACTGAGGGAGCTGTGTCCTTGTTGACCCTCTTGTTATTAAAAATGCACAAGTGCTGCGCTTCTCAATATTTCAGCACTCTTTCATTGTCAATACCACCTTCTGAGCCCTTCAGCTTGTTGCTTGCTCTAAAGATCTTCTTAGATTGGGTTTGAAAACTTCACCTTAAACACTAGATTAGACTGATGTTCTGTTTTCCGTGCTCCTGTTGATTTGTTGAACCTTCCCAGGGCTGGAAAGCAAGTAGCAGCTTGATGGGGAGACGGGCTGCTAATATGATTTACCAGTCTACAGTCATGCACAATAAGTGTGAATAAATACAGGGGTCTCACAGAGTCAACCCTAGCCTTTCCTTTTCTCTTATTTTTTACTTCAAAAGAGGTGTCTCAGGAAAATGAAGAGAGTAATGCATGCCCTTACAGGAGCCGGATGAGCTATGAATAAAAGGAGGAGGGGAACGGGGAGGCAAACATATTTTTGTTAAAGTGGTTGGCCGCTGTTATGTGCCAATGTGCAAAAATTGTATAACACACACTTTTTGCAAAAAATATGGTACCAGTGCTGTATCATTGGCACCTGCCAGCGTCCTCCTGTCCTTCCACTGCTATTGCTATTAGCAAAAAAGTGACCTTTTTTTTTCCTTAAAACCATCTGGAAGGATTTTTTTCAATTGTTACTACTTAAAAACGGCATAGTAAAGGTCCATTGTCAGAGTGCCGAGCCTTGTGAGTTTGCAATAGACTTCCACGGATGCACCCCTGCCTCTCAGACATTGTCAGAGGTTGTCTCAAGGTTGTAAGAATGCGCACCCTTGGAGTCCACCTCTGAGAGACATCGCCAGTGCTGTGTGTTTTAGCAGACTCCAACAGAAGTAACAGTGAGATATTTACCTTCTTTTCTTAGGGAGTGCAGCAGATGTATGCTCCTGCAGCTTCAGTCTGCCTGTGTGCACAACGCTCAGAGGTATAAAGCAGTAGTGAATGGGAATTCTGACCACAAGTTCCTCTTTCTAGGAGAACACAAAAAATACTCTTGATTGGATTTTTATTTAAAATTAGTCTTCAAAATAAGAGTGCATATTTTTCTAACAATTCTTATTTTCTTTTTTCTGTGCAGTGTATGTGCTCAGAGGAGCAACGTACCATAGTATCACTTCACTGAATCATTGAATTAACCATTTTTACTCACAGTTTAATATACTAAGAGTAGTCAGGAAAACGTGCTATGTTATCTAACTCACAAATTTGAGAAGTAAAATTACTCCCCTCCAGTTTCTTAGCTTTCTTCTCGGCACAAGGAAGTATATCACAGATATATATGGAGAGTCTAATTTGAACTGCATCAGTCTCAATTAAGTTATCTGGCTGGGCTTTAAAACACATTTAGCCAGGAAACGGAGCCTGGCTCTGTGCTCAGTGATGCGTCAGTGGGGGCAACCGGTGATGGGATTTTCAGCCCTGCCTGGAGTTTGATCGTATGAGCAACTTCCATCTCTTTTGCTTTCCACCACTCATTTGCTGCAAAACACACTGTAGCTGTTACTGGATTTCTTATTTTGGTTTTTTTTTGTTTTTTGGGGGGTTTTTTTTATAGAAGAATATCATTGCTGAGAAAACACTACTACTAAAATCATCCTCTCTGCACTGATTATTATCAATGACTCTAGAGTCTTAGTGATAATATAATAGTTGGGCCTCAGCTTTTTGCAGACAAAGGTGGAATGCTTGGTATACAAATTCTCATGTTGATTAGATCAATAGAGTTCATGGAGTGAATCAGCTCAACTGTATATTGTTTTCCAGACATCTGTATGCGCACAACACCTGTCATCTCAGAGCTGCCACTTCCTAACAACTCTGACACATTAAAAATATTTTGCAGGTACATATGAAGGAAAGCAAAACAAGCATGCATGTAACCAGTGAAATAATACAAATCGTATGAGAATGCCAGTCAGGGATTAAAAGCCAATATTATACATATCGGTTCCATATTTTACTTATTAAAACAAATCACTTTTATGAAACATGCAGTCTGATGCTAAAGGTGTGTATGGCGTGTTTGCTCACTTCAATGCCATGACAGTAAATAAATTGGAGAAAACATCATTTAATTCCATTGGTTGGTAATCAAAATTTATTTGAACACATTAAATAGAAATAGAAGTCAGTATTACATGAAAATCTTCTTTCTTATTTCAAACTTACCCTAAAACTGACGGCTACGATGAAATGAGACTTCGTTTCCAGTAAAGAAAAAGTATTTATATGTACTTACAGTATTTAAAACTTTTCCCAGGCAGCTTTTCTTTTGATTAAAGAATTCTAGTTTTATTTGCTGTTACTTCCTGTACAAGTGATTTATCCTCCCTGTTTTCCTTACATATTTTATTTTATTCATGAGTGTAGAAATGGCTAATGAGACATGTGAGAGCCTTCTTTTTAATTATTTTGCATACCTTGTAAAAAGGCTGTGTTTTAGAACGTCAGATCTCCTCTTTTTTGCATACCTATGTTTTTTCTAAAGACACGGGAAATCACATTAGAAAAGGACATAAGCCTCTTCCCTGTGGGGAATGTGAGTAGAAACCGAGCTACTACACAAACTCTTCTAATCTCACTGCTAAAATGAAAAAAAAAATCCCTTTCTTTTTACAGTTTGACTAAATGACATCTGGTTGGTATTTTACAGGAGGGGGAGGCAAATGGCTGCAACTAAGTTTAGTAAAATCTCTTGTAATCCAGTTAATGGGGAAGAACTTCTATAGTAGCTATTTAGAGCTGAGCATTTTTTTGCGGTAACATAGACACCAGCAGCAGAGAGCTCATTCTTGCCACAGCCATTTGTGGAGCTTTGAGTGAAAACATGCCCATGCCTTCGATATGAAAAGGAAATAAGGTAGGCTGCTTTTATAATCAGTGATTAACATGAAACAAAACCAGAATGTGCTGATCTTGAGAGGGATGAAGTGTTGTTTTGACCCCACATAAATACAATTTCCCCGTATTTCTGAAAACGTTCCATAATAAAAGATGTTGAAGAAATCAGAGTCATTATTCTGTTTGATGCTGTTTTCTGGTTTGTATCAGGAAATCTAAGTGTAGCAAAATCTTCCCCAGGATGTCAACCTACCCGTTTTTCCCTTGCTATTTAGCTCATATAAGTGTGTACTTAATGCCCATTCTCACTGACAGATAGCTGAGCACATAACACTGTTTTGCTTGAAAATATTATAGCTGAAAAATAAAATAGCAGTTGCTAATTCATGCAAAGAACAGTCTGGGTCAAGTTATTTGATTTCTTGCTGACCCACGCAATTCTCTTAATGGGAAATTATATGATTGTTGACTTCAAGTGCTGATCTGTGATCATTTCAAAGTGTTTCATTACCTCTCATTACCAAATCTGTTAAATGAATAATTCAGGGTTGTTTAGTGTTTTTGTTTGTTTTTTTTTTTTAATCCTCTTTTTCAGCAATGGTATAGCGGCTCCATGAAGGTCATATGCATGTGGCTGGCTGATAGATTAGACCTTCAGCTTCACATCTACCAGCTGAAGACTCTCATCAAGATCGTTAAGGTAAATGAAATGTATTTGAGTTACACTGACTGAAGTGAGGCATTAGCAAGGATATATTGGGTCACCCGAAAAGTTGAAAATTGTGAAATAGAGCCATTGATTTTTGGAGTTTTGCCATTTTTTTCCCCACAGTTGATACAAATTTGAGGAGAAAAACATTTTATTAAAACTTCTAATGTTAGTTTTTATGTGCGCTAAGAATTTTCAACCATTCTGGCCTCAGTGACAATTCCAATGAATGTTAATAGGTTTCTGCTAGCTGTTCAGTGATACTATCCGGTATTCTTAATAAATCATTGTTTGTACTGATTTTTTTTGTTGTGGTTGTTATTTTACTGTAATAATCACAAAAGCTGTTTTTCTCCATTTTTTCCACACTCTGAAAAAATAACCATTCTTTTTCTTAGGCACATGTGATTGCTAAGTTCAAATGAAAAACAATATTCAATACGTTAGATGCCATTTTCTAATCTTTCATGCTCTGGCATCAGTATCAGTTGAAATACCAGTTCCTCCAGTCCAATCTTGTCATTTACACCGGCCAATGCAAAATTTTTCCGAGTGAAGTGCAAAAGAGTTTGCAGTGGGCAATTACGGGCTACCTTACCATAAAAGAAAGTTCTTTTGTAACTCACTTTTAAATATATTAATGAATACCCTTAGGAAAGAGAGAGAAAGCCATTTCCTAGGAGGTTCTGTCTTGTTTAAATCTGAACATCCTTGTTATGTGTGTGAATGTGCAATAAGTGCCTGCTGTCAGTGACAACCTCCATTTCTCCAAATGATTTTCTAGTGAAGTTCATGCAAGACTGTTAAATTGGGGGAAATTTGACCTGTAAGCACTAGCATTGCAACTGGAATTTTCACTATTCACTTGTTTTAAAGAAGGAGGAGGAGGAGGAGGAGATGACGATGATGAAGAAGAAAAAGGGGAAGAAGAAAAGATAAAAAAGAAAAGAGTCATGATAATATTATGCCTCCCTGAGCCACCCAAGCTCAGCTTTGCTGTTTCTGACTTTGACCAATATCCCTGGGAATAGGATTTGGCTCTTCATTTTATTGCGTGCCAAGGTGGCAAAAGCAGTTTGCTGTTTGTGGCTGGAATTAATGGCTTTTATGAAAGGTATAAGGCTCTTTTCAAGTGGCAGGAAACAAGCTGTGCCCAGTGTGATGAGCAGATTCAAGCACACCAGTAAAATATAACTTGAGAGTTTAAAGGAAAATAATTAGTCATTAATTGTAAAGTAGAGATAAATGAGCAGCACAGGCAGCTGACCTTGGTTCTGTGCCTGGCACACAGGTTAGCTTCATTCACATGAAGCATGTATCCAGTGGCAGTGGGATCACAGTGGCTGCAGCAGTAGCCTTTCTGTGCCTCTATGCATGTTTACTTTGCATGTATGTTCCATGTGTCTTACTCCATAGCACTACCTGCAGATACAGGAGGTTGAAGAAAGTGATGTTAGTTTGTAGACAGTGCTCTGGTCAATGTACTGGAAGGTAGAAAGCCTTGACTGCCTGTGGAAGGTAGCAGAACTGGAAGAACTAACCCGGTGCAGAGGCCACTGGGAAACAAGCAGTGTAAAATAAGAAGCTTTCAATGGAGCAGCCTCAATCAGGACAGGCAGCATTCTTCCAAACCATCGAGCAAATGGAGGCATTACTGTGTTTGCCTTTGGCAAAATTGGTAGTCTGTGTTGTCTCAGCAGCTCTGGAAAATATTTAAACTTTTAAAAATAGCAATTAAAAAAAAAAAAAAAAGTAGAAAGTCATTCTTAAGGTCAAGAAATGGTGGGTGATTGTTCCATGTTTGGACACAGTGAAGGTGGTGGCATCGTTAAGAGTGGCCAGAGGAAAACTGCTCATTCTCATTAGATCCAAGATGGAGGGATGCTGCATAAAGGCATCTTTAGGTGTCTGAGACACATGCAGAAGGACATGACTAAAGAAAGGTCAAGGACCAAGAGAGAAGTTGGGAAGAAACGAAAAATTAAACTTGTAAGTGAACATTATTATCCTGCAAAAGTATGTCAAGAGAAGAGCAATGACTGAACCCAAGAGTGCTGGCCTAAGAATGGGAGGAATACATTGTAAAACAGAAAGAAATTGTTGTAGGACTTGTTAACAGCATAAAAGGAAATTGAATGTTCAGTGTTACAAAAAGGGACTGCAATGGTGGCACTTGAAAAAGACCAGGCAGAGTACTCACAGAAGTGTGCGAGCAAAACATAAGCTGCATCCATTGACTCTGAAGCTGACCTGAGAAAGTCAAATAAATCTCAGTTTCAGTGATTCAGACAAGGTTTAAATAATCATCATAGATGTAGCGACAGAAGAAAAAAAAATCTCCCAGCTGAACGCTACCCATTTTGAGAGGTGTCTTTTGCAGTTCTTTGAAGTATGGAGTGAAACAAGATCAGCTTTTTTCTCCTTTCTTTTTTTCTAGGAGTTGTGCACAACCTCTTCCAGCAGAGGAATTGGCCTGATAGCTCTTAATTGTTTTCCATTTTCTTTTCCCTGTAGTCTCTTCCATACACACTGAGAACTCATATTGTAAAAGGCTTATCCTTCTTAAGCTTTGTAGGGTAACTTGGGAAAGGTTGTTACAAACATATTACTGATAACAAAATAAGAAGGTAGAGTAGGTGGATCTCCATGTGCTCACTTGAATATATAATCAGTAAATACAACCATTTTATTCCCAACACTCACTGAATAATCAAACAAAAATATCATACCTGCTGGTTCATAGGAAGGCTGCTTACCAAGGAAACAAAACTTTGCCAAGTGGCAAAAAAAAAAAAAAAAAAAAAAAAAAAAAAAAGGATGTAGACGAGTCTCAAACTGTAGATGAGTAAATTAACATTGTAAATTAATGTAAATTAACATTGATTGCAGTAGGCACCTGAGAAACTTTTACATCTTAGAATATAGAGAATATAGATTATAACCTAAGATTTAATTTATTTCCCTACCTTTGGTGCATAAGTGTAGAGATAAATGCAAGTGGAGTTACAGTTTGAGGAAAGTCAGTCTTCTACATTTACTGTGAAATGACAGAACCACCTGTAGACAGGTTCACATTGCAGTTTGCAGTGAGAAAGCTTCTTGGTTGGCTTCTTATTGTATAAATTAGACAAAAGGAAGTTACTGAGAGGTCTGCATACAGTTATAGAACCATAGTACAAAACACAGTCTCCTAAACAAATTACCATCCAAGTGTGGCTTGAGGACTCCTTGTGTTGTTAGGGTGAAACAAAGTGGTCTTGTTTACCCTGATATGATTTTATGCAAAGTTATGCCTGCAAAATGTTATGCTCTGAGCCCATTGGCAGTATTTCTGCTGTTGTCATTAGCAAAGGCAGCACCATTGATAGACAAATATGTAGAAAGTGTCCATGGAGGACTTGAGTATGTAGGCAGAAACTGTTGCCCAAGAAAGATTTCTGTTTCCCAAAATAGCACTCATCAGACAGAAGATGACAAACATTTTCCAAGAATTAAAAAAAAAAAAAAAAAGACAACATTGTCATATTGATGACCATTGGCTTGAGCACTCAAGCAAAACTTGTCAAATAGCGGAGTTCTTTGAAGAATGTTGATGATTTGTTGTAGCTGGAATTGTTTTCTGTGGATCCAGAGTCACTGTCACTGGCTGCTGCATTTTCAAGTTGAGTAAGTCACTTTGAGTCTGTCCTTTTCACAGAGTTCAAACTAATATAAAACATGGTCTAGAGGGAGGTGTCCTTGCCTATAGCAGCGGGGTAGAGCTGATCATCTTAAAGGTTCCTTCCAACCCAAGCCATTCTATGATTCTGCGATTTTTTAATTTAAGCTTATAGAAACCTCACACAGTGCAGAAGCTAAAACAACACACATCTTTTGCAAACTCTACACGATAGATCCATAAATGTAGGAGGAACGGCATTACTCTGCTGGCATGCTTCACCAGTGTGCAGTAGAAGATTCCTCGTCCAATTCAGGATGTTTTATTTCTGCCACAGAAAACCTACCGAGACTTCAGATTGCAGGGTGTGATGGAAGGAACGCTGAACAGTAAAACCTATGACACTGTCCACAGCCGTCTGACCGTGGAGGAAGCCACCGTCTCAGTCACAGACGCGGGAGGACTTCAGGGCATTACGATGAAAGACAGTGATGAAGAAGAAGGATGATAGTGTCTCACCACGTGTTTGGGATGCTGGGGTGGTGGTTTGAGGGTAGGGGTTGTCTACGGTTTAGGATTCTTTTGGTAACTCGTCCTTGTAGTTGCGTTTATAGTTTTGCCTTATGACATAGGCGCAGAAGTGTAATTTGCTCACTTTTTAAAATACTGAAAGCAAGATTATCAGAGGAAAAGTGCCAAGGACTCTTTGAGAACAAAGGTTGTAGCATATTTTAATGTATAGCTTTGCTTAGGGCTGCAAGAACACTGGCATGGAGTTTGAGTTCCACTTGTGATTATGTTTCCTCCCCTTTTGTTCGTTGCCATTTGTTCTTGTATCTCCATCGAATATTGATGTCCTGTGCAGAAAACAAAATGTGTGGCTCACTTACAACACAACTATACAGGAAATCATTCTCAGAATAAGTCTGCCCTAGGTAAAAGAAAAAAGTAAATAGTGTCTTTTCAGGATGACGCTTTGTTTACTTTGTGTGTGTGTGTGTGTACTTTATTTTACATTATTATGTGATGTGCATTAAAAATTTTAATTTAGGTTCTTTGTATCTTAAGGTTGGTATGTAAGTGGTAGGACTTCAAGGACAGTCAAACCCATACACACTACTTAGGAGTGCCGCTGTGTCTGTCCATTTTGCAAGTTTAAAGATATCGTGTTGGATGTCAGTAAGCTTGCCATCAATGTTTCTATTTCTGTGAAAAATTTCGGGCAATAAGAACACATTTTGTCGTGAACACTTCTGTATTTATCCAAGTTTGTATAGAATTCTACAATTAAAATGTTTTCAATATTTCAAACCATTTGAATTGTCGTATGGATTCCTCAAGAGAATGAGCTTTCTTGAAGGATCATATTTTGTGTACAGGGTGGTTTATCACATGGTTTGTGTAGCAGATATAGCACAAACATCCAGGGACACAATGGCTCTGTAAAGAAGAAAAGCAAACAAAAACCCATACTGATAGATGAACAGACAGTGCTTGCTGCCCATTTTCCCATGCCTTCAGTGTGAGATAGAAAGAATTCAAATTTTTCTAAACCCAAACTCACAACTGGTAGAAAACTCAAGTTTGTTTGGTTTTGTTTCAAGAGAGAACATGACTGATTCCTAGTTTGTGTAGACAGAATACAAGAGAACACAGAATAAAATTATACCTGAAGAGATGCTGAGCTCTTTATCGAGCCCTGGAGTTACACTTGAAGAGAGGGTATTTGCTGATGGACTTTCTGAGGATCTGTGAGGCTTGCATGAAGTTTCCCTGCAAAACAGGCTATAGGACTTTGAGACTTGAAGTGCTGAGGTTGTCCTGCCCCACTCCTACCACTCTCTCTGGGCTGCAAGGTGAGTTTCAAGGAACAGGAGGGTGGGAGGTGACTGTTGCAGAGCAGGTCCCTTACATCTCTTTTCGTTCATGTTACCAGTTTTGCTGAGCTCAGGCCTAGAGAGAGCACAAGGAGCACAAGGATTTTCACCATCATCTAGGTGGGTGTGCTGGCTTGGACTTTGCTAGCATTTCTCCAGGCTTTCCCTGCTCCCACTTCCAAGGGCTGTCAGTGCCTGAAAGCTGCCAGCATTTGAAGGAAGAGCCTGTCTGGCTGCAACCTACATCAGGGCTTGGAAGAAGCCAGGACACCCAGTGTAGTGCCAGGCTCCCAGCCTGATGAGGGCCAAAGGGAGCTTACCTTGGCAAAGATGTCCCTGGTGTCCTCTCTCCCACCATTACCCTCCTGACACCCATGGAGGTGTCCATTGTGAATAGGCGAGGGCAGATCTCACCATGCTGGCCCTGTGATGGGGGCTGAGGCCTCCAGACTGAGGCAGGGGCATCTACCCAGTTCTGTGCTGAGAGCTGAGCCTCCTGCAGGCAGCCAGTGACACAGGGAGGCAATAAATTGTCTGTGAAATGTCCCAAGCACCTTCCCTGCTTTAAGTCTCTGAGATGTCAGGAAGGAAGGAAGCGGTGCCAAAACTGGGCACTGTTCTGAGTAAGTCATTAACAGTCACTAACAGCATCACTGGCAGTGTCACTAAGAATCTGGAGTGAGAGCTAGAACCAAGGGACAGGAGTGGCTGCTCTCAGTACAGCCTGGGAGGGAATGGGCTCAGCTCTCCTCTGGCAGAGCCCAGGACTGGAACCCATCTGCCAGCACTGATAGCCAAAAGCTCTGTGGGAAGCAGCACCCAGTGAGTCTGTCCTCTGTAAAAAGTCATCGCCACACTGAGAAAGTCTTAGTAACGCTGACAACTCTCCTTCCCTGCTTATTTGGGCAGAGAAGAAAATATAACCTATAGAGTAGGTTATTGAAATTCCACTTGTCAAGAGGACTAACAAGCTGTAAGGATCCTGATTGATCTCACCTGGACTCTCCCCTTCTGCTGAGGACTTTGACCCAGCTCAGCACAGGGTCCTGCACTGGGTGATGCCCTGGATCACAGACCCCATAAAGCCAGATGCTGGATCTACAGCCCCTGAGCTGTGGGTTGGCTTCAGCCCTGCCTGGCCATCGCAGACCTGCTGGAGGGCTGAGCTCAGTGCTTTCCCCCTGCCCAGCCCTGCTGCCTGCCTGGGGGTGCTGGAACTGGTTGATGGAGTCCTGCTCCAACAGTCTAAGGGCCCCTCTTCAGGGAGCAGTGACCCTCCCTGTGCTCTGACATCATCTTTAGGGGAAAAAAAATCTATGAATTTTGTGTTTTGCAGTGGGATTGAGTTGCTCCAATTTTGTGCTGCATGCTGCATATATCACACGGACATCCAGCATTTGGCTGTACAATTTCATTCGCGTGCACTACTTGTTTGATTTGTCAGTAAGACAGAGGTGAGTCAAGAAATAGTGGGGGCGGCCGCCCCCCAGAGAACACAAATTGAAAGACGAAGAAATGGAAGACAATGTAACCATGAAGAGGTTATGAGATGTTTGTGATTTTCAAAAAATTAACTCAGATGTGAAGTATGTGGTAAGTTATTATTAGCAAGGCAGCACAGCACCCATCACAGGAAGGCAAGTACTGAAATGACAGCACCACAAAGGTCGTTCTACTTCTTATCAACTCACGTATTTTCTTAGTAACTGGATTTGTGAACCTGGAACCAACGCCAGGCTTGAGAAGGCCAGTATCTGTGTGACAGTCTCGCAGGCACACAGGGACACAAGGTTCCCCCTCTACGTACGTTTTTAATGCAGGTTTAACTCACCTCCTCGCAAGGTGTGCGGGAGTAGAGAAGAGCCGGGGGGGTTCCGGGCAGCCTCTGCCTGCCGTAAGTGCCGGGGGGGGCTTAGGAAGGAGCGTTCTCATTCCGTTTAGCTCTCCGCTTGTTGGCCCAGAAGGGGCTGGGAGCGGGCAGAGCGCGGTGCGAGGGCAGCGCACCTCTCCGCTTACTGACCCAGGGGAAACAGGGCGGAGTCGGAACCCTTCAGCCAAACGACTGTCGGCAAATGGGAACAGCCGGGCAGCAACGGGGGTCCCCGCGTCCCGAAAGGAGAGCGGAACTCGTTTGGTGCCGAACGGCAGAAAAGGCGATGGGCAGCGCAGCTCCGCGCTCCTCGGGCTCCCTTGGGCGTGGGGCTCTCGTTCTGACGGAGACAAACCCACCCTCGGGCGTTGGCGTAGGGGCGGTGCTGCTCCCCGAGGCTGTGCCCGTGTCCCCGGGCGGCCGTCCAGCAGCGGGGCGTTTTGCTGTGGTGCACTTTACTGTTTTTCCCATAATTTTGTTATTGTTCTCACCCTTCTCACTTGGTTTCTCGCTCTCCCCCAGGCGGGAGCACGGGAGAGGGGTTAGCCCTGCACCGACCCTCCTGTTGCCGCTCACCGAGCGCAAAAATGCTGGCAACGCAGCGCAGTGCCTTCACGCAGCCGAGCAGCACTTCGCTTTGCTCCTAACACGCCAGGAAAAACAAACAAACAAACAAGCAAACAAACAAACAAACAAGAATAAGTTAATTGCTCCCGATCCTGTTCAGGAATCTTAACATTAAACAGCCTCCGCGAGCCAAAGAGCGCGAGGCGTTCATTGAGCAGGAACGGGGCTAACCGCTGCTGGACTGGGAAAGGAACAAGTGCGGAGGTGTCACTCACGGTGGCAGCTGCCGCTGGCCCCTCCCCGCCACTCTCACCGAGGGCCTCGGAGCGCGGGCACCGCCGTCCCCCCGGACACGGCGCCAGGATGAGCGGGGAGACCGCTGCGCCCGGAGCCGCCCGCGGGGATCGCGGGGCCGGGAGCCCTCGGCGGGGTCAGCGCCAACTTCGGGCGGCTGCGGTTAAGGGCTTCCTGTGCGGAAAGGCTCCTTTTGCCCCGGTTCGGTCGTCGGTTTAGAGGGGCCTGCGTGAGTCGTACCGTAATGTGACACTTTGTTTTACCTCCAATAACACTTGTCGGGTCGGTGTCAACGGGTTTTATTTTGTGATGGATTCAGTTACAAACGGCAGTATTCTATCCTGCTCCTCGCGGTGGAACTTACCCAGAGGGACGCCGACTCACACTCATTGCACAGCGAGGCTGTGCGGATACTCAAAAAGTACGCACGTAAAAAAGTAGGCAAATATATGTATATATATTATTATTCCGATTTTTGAGAAAATACCGGTGGGAACCCGCAGCAATCCGGCCCCGACCAACCGGAGCCCGCTGCCCTGACCCCCGGGGTGCGCCGCGGGTTGGGGCCGGGATGGCCCCGGTCCCCCGCTTTCCATTCCCTTGCGTTTCGGTCGCCCTTCAAAACGCAGCACTGGAGCCCCGGACGGAGCGATGGGCAGCCCCGCGGGCAGGGCCGGCTCCCAGAGACCGCGACCCGGGTTGGTTCCCTGTGGCGGGGACCGCGGGCTGAGGGGCGGCTGTCCGCAGAACGTGAGGGCTGTTGGGAGCCTTTGACCCGGGCCGAGCAGGCGGCTCTTTGCAAAGCCGGGCGGCGGGGACCGCTATGCAGGGAGAACGGCCCCGGCGCTGGAAACGGACCTCGACAGTAGAGTTCTTAATAACAGTCGGGTCCTCCGGCGGAGCGTCGCCCGTAACCTCTGCGGTCCTCCGAGAGCCGAAATGAAGAGCGCCCGCGGAAGCAGCGGCGGCTCCGCGCTGCAGCCCGGTAAAACACTTCCAGGCAGAGCTTAATGCGCGCAACAGAAGGTTGGCGAAGTTATTATCCTTTTCAATTCATTTTTTACTTAGAAACGCAATGGAATTATTCATTTTATTAAGGAGGAAGAAATTAAAGATTAGGCTTTGGGCGGTATTTTACCTCCCTCTAATCGCCTCTGGGATCAGATTGGAATAATCCCGACGCAGAGATGAATTCGCCGCTGACTCAGATTTTGAGAGCGCGGAGAGATACGTTGTGATCATAATGCAAGTGAGCAATATCAAGAACATAGCTTAGGAGCGAATGAAACACAAAACCGATTACGGGGAAAAAGAGAACAGCAGCTTCCCCGCGCGAAATCAACTCGAGGCCAAACTTTTGCCCTTCGTTGTAGCGGCCCTTTAGCACTCGGGAGCCCCCGCCCGGTGCCGGGATCGCTGCGAGCCGTCGGGATCCGAGCAGCGGAACGGAAAGGCCCCGGGCGGGGGTTCCGCAAGCAACGCTAAGAGTGGTGAAGCCGCCGCAGCGGGAATGAAACAACGGAGAGACGGGAGGGAGAGGTGCTGGAACGGTTCTAAGCGCTAAGGAAAGCTCGGGACGGGGCTGGAAATGGGATTCGGCACCGATGTTGCAGTGTCTGTACCGCAAGCAGCTCCAGCACCAACCAAATTCTGC